CAAGCTACATGAGTCAGAAGTCAGCTTCAATGGTCTTTAAATTAAGATGGACAAGCATAAGAATAACATAAAATAATGGTTAAAAAATAACTCTGAATTTAATTTCAGGAGTTAGTAAAGTCCTAAGGAGCACAAACTAGGAAAAAGGAGTAAGTTTATTTTCAAAGACTATCTATGCAAAAGTCATAGAGAAAAGTATAACCACACAAGTTTTTAGGGTTCTTTGGGTCTGGTTTTTGAAAGAACCTTGTGATTTTTTTTAGCCTGGAAAATCATGCAGCTTTCTGTTGCAAAATACTGTTCTTCTTGTGAAGATAACTATATCCAACACTCCCATCTTGGAATACAGTATACAGTGATATTCAGGAATAAAAGATCACCAAAAGACTATCTATATGCACAGTGTGTTTTAACGAATGTAGCAGAGAATTATTTATGACCCTAAATAACAAAAAAATAATCTAAAAAACATAACTATACATTGGGATATGTGTATGAAAAAGTCTGTAATAAAATACTAACATTTTAACTAGTTAACGTCTTTACATGTGTAGGCAAAACTTTGGAAAATCACAACATTCCTGCATTTCTCTGTCAAAAGCTTGCCACAGACTTTAAAAAAAAATTTAAAAGTTAAGCCAGGTTTTAATTGCAAAGCTTATGGATGAACCGATTACAAAAAAAACCACTTCAAGGCTACTAAACCCCTTAGCCACAAGTCAGTGGGGGTTGGGACAGTACCATCCTGTCCTTTTAGTCTTCACTTATGGCCACCAGGAATAGGATGTGAGGATGCAGTCTGTCCAAATTTGGCTGCTCTTGTATCCATCCTAATGAGGGTCCAAACCTTTTCATGACTGGGAAAGCACTAGAAAACATGCCCAAGTACATCTATAGTCAGCAAAACATTTTAGTATATGCCTACTATTAAGCAAATGATTGGGCTGAGAAAATTAAACTGGTTTTTAGTTCCTCCTTCTATTATGTGTATTAATTGCCTTTTTTGCATAAGGAGCTAATGAACTGGGGGTTGATGCTTAAAGTCTGACTACTTAGATAAGAGCCATTAGAAAGTGTCCATATAAAGTGCCTGTTTTATTCATATTTCATATATTCATACCACTACATACTTCTAGAAATAAATTCAATTTCTCAGATGGTCAGATCACCTGGTTACTTAATACATCCAAACCATTTTCCTTGAGTAAGAGATGCATCAGGCAGGAGCTCCAGGACAAAATCTCTTGCAATGTTCCAGAGTTCTGAAATCCATGTTTTCAGACTGTTCACTGGGATTCTGCTGAGGGCATCTGTGGAAGTTTATAACTCTATATAAAGAATAAAGATCCTGGTTTATGCAGTACAACCAAGTGGGCTGTTTGTGCAACCCTTCAAGGAGTGAGTGTGCACAGCACAGACCTGTATCAGCCCCCTGGTGGGAATTACTGTGGATCTCAGACAGCAGTGATGAACAGAGAATGGAACTGGAGGCAACACTGCTCCCCATATGACTCTTCCCCATGTGATTACTTATCCAAATTAAGATGCCTTTCCTTAACACGCTGCTACTTCTACAACTACGCATCTGTACATGTGTGGGAAGAAGACAGCACTTAATCCAAACTGTTCTGCATGTAAAAACAAACACATTTAAAATTCAGAAGTATTCCTTTAAGAAATAGTACAAGGCTCTTATCCTCACCCAAGAGAGCAGAGGGTCAGAATGGACATTTGCAAGACACCCAACGAATGCAACTGCTGTATACAATTCTCTCACTGGAAAGCTATATATTCAAAAAAGCATGGGATTTTGCAGAGGAAACCGTGCCTTCTTTATCTTATGTTAAGGACATTGCCTTTGACTTCATCTGGGCCAAGATTTCATCTCATGTGTTTCCAAAGAGTCTCTGTGATTCTGCCAACAGTAGCACAAGTGGCTTGCAAAAAAAAACAAAACCCTGACAAAAAAACCCAAACAGGAAATACTCTCCAAGGAATATTTCTTTGTCAACTCTTAAAATTAAGACTAAATAATAATAATAATAATAATAATGATTCTTACAGTCTTTTCTCTCCATGCAAACCCAGGCACAATGTCCTGCATTAAAACCCTATTTATCAGGCGTCATACCTAGGAGAATTCATGTTGAATCATATCATGGAAATAAGTTTCTCATGATGTTTACTCCTCCTCATAATATGCAGCAACTCCTACATTATATGTTTGGGGTTTTTATAACTCAAGATGTTTGGCTAACAACAATATTCTATCCATCTTTTCAAAAGAAGTAATATGATAAATGATGAAGTTTTTAATTATTTCAGAGAGGGGGATGTTTAATCAAACATAAGGAAAAACCATGAAAGCACCTTTTCTATGCTTCAAAACAGCTAATTCTTAAATTAGCCATTCCCTGATTTCATCTACAAGTAAATTTTCACTGCTGAGTTGTCAAAACTTTCAAACAAGAGAAATACTCACAGTCTCCTAAAGATCACATTATAAATAGTCGTGTCCTACCTCCACATTTCTCTCTCTGACTTCATTCCTAGGCAGCACTGAAGAAGCAGCTACAGTCACATGGTGCATTCAAGGTCATGCTATTCTAATTGACAGAGATAGCATTGATAAATTATGCGGAAACTATGATAATGGAGCCATTAACCTTGTTCCAGCACACTAAAGGTGCTTTATAATTAAAAGGAGTACAAAAGTTACAAAAACATATAAAGATTTTATTGCTCAGCCTTTCCTCTCCTACACACTGCTGCACAGCAGCGTTAGGGAATAGTAATATTGCTGAAACGTGGCTGCCTGTGCTTTGTCACCGAGGGGCGCAGGCAAACACCGGATTACACTTGAAGGAGGAGTCAGGTAGTAAAATCCACAAACCATTGACATTTTTTTTTTCCAAATAGGAAGTTGCATCCAGAAGGCCTCTGTCTTTGGCATAAAGGAGCACATGAAATATCATTCCAGTCAGGAAGTCTTTCTCAGTCCAAGAATCTATGCTGAACTGTCATTTCCAAACACACAGTCATGTGGCCTGTGCTTTGAGAACTTGCATTAAAACTGTAGTGAGTTAACATACTGAACTGAAACTCCTCAGGTATGTATAGATACAAGTACAGATATATAGAATTAGGCAGAATTCAGAATTTATCCCTTATGTCTCATGCAGAAGCTTGCAGTAATTCCCAGACTAAAAGCCTGACTAATGTCCCTAATTCATGTGTGACAGGTAATTTATTAAGAGTGCACACATTAATGAATCACCGGTGGTTGCTTTGACTTAAAGAGAAATATTAGAAAAACAGTGAAGAGATAGGACATATGTTTCACATAGCAACTCAAAGTAACCTTAAATTCCCCTTATTTTAAAGAATCTATAGGATTTCTAGAAAAAAATTAAAATTGGATTACAGGCAATCTACCATTATCTTCTTGAGACTTCAACTACTGCTTCTTTTTGAATCCTATCCCAGTAAGACCACTCACACAAAAACTATTAATAAGAAGAGGACAGTACAGAGCAGGTTTCCTGGAGTTCAAGTGCCCAGAGATGACACTACACTGACACTACACTGCCAAGACAGAATCCATTCTAGTAACTTTTAATCTTATCTCGTGAACTAGTGTGTCTCCCTGCATAGCCTGACCGTCAAGATATGATCTACAGCATATTGCACAACTTACATACAAGGACACATAAAAAAGTCCGAGATCTGTATATAGAGGCTTGACCTCATGGGGATAACTGAATATACAATAAAGTCCATTCTGAAGGCCTGTGTGGAAATGAGATTCTTTCTACTGGTTCTGTCATGTTTAGATAAACTAATAATTAGCATATGATTCAGGCACTCCGAAGTATCACAAATTATACTTTAAACAATAAACTGTCAAAGAGGATGTAAAATTGCCAAATTTTATACCCAGTTTCAGAGGGATTCTCCTCTGTGTCCTCTGAGCACAGGCTGATGGCTGTAGTTGCAGAGCACAAGCGCCTCTGATGCATGGTATCTAAAAACTTCCCACCGCAGAAATTCCCAAGTTTTCAATGGCTGGGCTCACTGCCCGGCTGGAATGCGTACTTTAGCGATACGCCTACAGCCGCTGCACCACCCAGAGCCAAGGAGCACCTACAGACCGGCTTCCCAGAGCAGCTCCTGTTCTCCAGAAATGCTGCTGGGGTAGCAGAAACCTCCTCGCAAGCCTTCAGCTGCAGAGAACTCAACTCAGCACAGTTTAAAGAGGACAGAAACAAACATGTAAACAGCATCTGTGCGGTCTCTTCTCTATTGACTTTCCTGGAAACGCATTAACCTATTACAGTACTTCAAAATAAATAAGCGAAACAGAGGCGAGGCAAGACTATACCGTTCTCTCACAAAAAGTTTCTTTCTGTCTGTCCTCTCACTTGCTCTGAGCTCCCATTCCCTGCGATTAGCGATCGTTTTCACCAGGGATCAAATGAATGACTTTTCCGCTAATGACACTTAAGAGATGCTAAAGCCGCCCTGGGCGCCACCCGGGACCCGGCGCGCTCCGCAGCCCCTGTCCCCGCTCCAAGGCGCCCGGAGCGAGGCGAAGCCAAGGGCAAGCCCCGCTCCGCAGCCGGCCCCGGCCGCCGCTCCGGGCCCCCGGCAGCTCCAGCGGGAGCAGCGCCCGCAGGGGCGGCGGGGCCGGGCCCGGTGGGTCGGGCCGGGTCGGGCGGGGAACCGGCCCCGTCGGACCGGGGCTGCAGGGGATGCTGCCGCCGCCCCCCGCCCGCCCTCCCCGGCATGGCGAAGCGCTGTCACCGACGCACATTTAATTCGCCCGGCTGCGGGTACCGCGCAGCGCCGCTCGCATCCTCCCCCCGCCGCCGGGGAGGGGGCGGCTCCGGCGGGGAGGGGGAAAGTCAAACTGCAGCAACAAAGTTGCTCCCCCTCCGCTCCCCCAGACCTACCGCGGCCCCCAGGGGGTGGGCAGAGAGGGGGGCCCATGCCCGCCTTACCTTGTTTGACGCACTTGAGGCGGATGGGGTCCTTGCAGTGCTTGATCACGGCCAGCACATCCCTGATGGTGAGCCCGGCCACGGGGGTCTCGTTCACCTCCAGCAGCAGCTCCTCCGGCACCAACTTGCTGCCGCCCTCATAGGCCACCTTGCCGGGCTTCACTTCCCCCAGGTAGGGGAACTGCCCATTCTCGGCGCCCCCCTTCAGCTCGAAGCCCAGCTGTCCCTCCGGGTTCCTCACGATCACGATCTCGTGGACTCTGCTCGTCCAGTGGCTTTTCTTCTTCAAGCCCTTGGACATTGCCGTGGGGATGCTCTGCCCGACTCCCTCCCTGCAGTCTGTGCTTCTTGCCCCCCTCCCTCTGTGCCCCCACTCCCCGGGGCAGCCGCGCTCCTGCGGGCAGGCTCGGGCGGGCGGAGCGGCCGCGGCTGTGCCGGCCGGCGGCCCCGCGGGCTGCGCTGGGTCGGGGAGCGCCTCGGTGCCCGCTCCTGCCGGCTTTAGCTGATATCCATGGCAGCCGCGGCGGCCGGACCCTGCCTGCGCGTGGATGCACTAGTTGTAGAGAAACTGGCAGGAGGGAGGAGGGAGGAGGGAGGGAGGCAGCGGGAGGGAGGGGACGGCCGCGGCGCGGGGAGGAGGAGGAGGGCTGTCGGTGTCGGTGCCGGAGCGAGGCGGGCGCTGTTTCGCCGCTCCCGCCTCGCCTGACCCGGTAGTGAAGGCCGAGAGAGAGGCTGCCTGGCACGGCCGGCAGAAGGCGGAGAACGGCCCGGGCGGGGGGGCGAGGGCGCTCGGCGGGCGGGAAGGAGAGCGCGACCCCAGCGCGGCCCCGGCCGGGAGCGGCACTCGGGGGAGCGATGGAGCTGGTCCCGCCGCCTGCCCCGCCCCGGCCCGGCAGGACGCTGCCCAGCACCGGCCCGGACACTGCCCAGCTCCGGCCGGACACTGCCCCGCTCCGGCCTGGACATTGCCCCGCACCGACCCGGACACTGCCCAGCACCAGCCCGGACACTGCCCCGCTCCGGCCGGACACTGCCCCGTACCGGCCCGGACACTGCCCAGCACCGGCCCGGACACTGCTAAGTACCGGCCCGGACACTGCCCAGCACCGGCCGGACACTGCCAGCACCGGCCCCGCTGCAGCCGCGAGGGCACCGGCAGCGCCGCGAACCGTGCGGGGCATCGCGTTTCTGCCCGAGCCGGAGCTGAGAAGGGTCCTGCGGTCCGGGAGCTCTGCTCGCGGCCGGGAAGGACCAAAGGCAGCTGGGCTTCGGGCTGTGGCTACCAAACCAAGCGACACCTGTTTGCTTCGAGGATGTCCGTGTCGCGGGCGTTTGCAGTGATTTCACTCCACGCAGAGGTGTCAGTTTATTGAGTTGCACATGGGTATTATTCTTTACTCTGGGTGCTGTGTCCAGAGCCCATGGCTCAGGTGGGTGCTACACCTGAAGGGGTGGCAGTTCTTTCCATGAAATTTATTGACTGTCATCCAGCAGGTGTTCACCACCCTCGCTCAGGTTCCCTTCTGTCACTTGTCCTTAGTGGCCAAAATCGCACACTCCAACCTGCAGTTCTTCCCTACAGCCGCAGTAGTGGGTTACACTGCTCAGCGGGTAGCTCGCTCTTCCTGCAAGCTCTCCCTTTAATAAGTTCTGTCATATGCCTCACATGTGTGAGAGCCATGGAGTGTAGCAACTGGCATGTCTTTCTGGGAAACTTGCCTTGACTAAAAAAATAGTTTCCATCCGAAGTGGAGGTTGACAAAATACACTCAGAACAACATCCTGACTTTAAGAAGCATAAGTTTTTGTGCCTGTGAGGGGGTATAGGGGAGGAGGATACATGAAAGTAGGGGTCTGCAGACAGGGTATTGAATGGGCTGAGGCAGGAGAAATGTACTTTGTGTTATGGCATGTGATTTTTAAAGATGGTCAGATATTTTTAAAATTTCAATTAAAGTGACTCTGCAATGAAATTTTTCAAACTGAACTGCTGTTTTTCCTCTTGGTTTCCATGGAAACAGGCCTTTATGCGATCATGCTTGGCTGTGTCTCCTTTACTTCTCCAATAACTTTTGAAGCTGTTGGGCAGTTTTACCCAAATCTATCTCAAATATAATTATTTTATGAAAACAGGCAGCTGGGTAGGGCTGAGAGATCCTGTAAATGTCCCAAAGGCAGTAACATGAACTTACCTCTTATTAAACAGTGATTCACATGGTTGAGAGACCATATAAATGTCTTGGTAATGAGAAAAGTTTCAATTACAGCTCATTATCAGCCTCACTATAAGTCTGTGGGAAACCAGGGTTCTTCAGTTCATTTTCCCTCAGAATTACGTGTGTTCCACAGGTGGAACAGACATGCAGAGGGGAAGAAAACATTGAGAAATTACTGACATCTGTATTCTGCAAGTCATTTCACTTGTTTTGCTGAGGAGGCCTGGTCAGAAGTGCAAAACTCTGTGTGTGAGTGGCTTCACACAAGTGATAAAAGGAAAAACCAAACCAAGACTGCACGTATTGGAAACATGAGATGCATAAGTACGGACAGATGGAAGATGGGAAGGTGGGAGGGGAAAGGTACCTTGACTGGAAGGTACTAAGATTTTTTCACTGTGGGACAAGGGTTATGTGATGGTCCCTTTTCCAAAGACCACCATGAGTGTCTTCTTGTCACTATGGAGCAGGGGCTCTGGTCTGGACAAAAAGAGGCTAAGGCATTCAGAAAGAGAGCAAGAGAGTCAGTAGGTTTGTCTCTGTAGCTCTGACTTTTCAATTTGTCTTGGCTATTAGTTCAGAAATGAGGAAGGAAGCAAATGGTTGAAAAGAGGAAGAGAAGACATAATATCCCATTATTCTTCAGTTTGCCTTATTTTACCAAAATCACTTCTTTGCTGAGTCATCTGCTCTACTAAAGTCCACTCCATTAAAGTGGTCACCATTTCTTAATTTGGAGTTTGTAGTTCTTCTGCTGGCATAGTATTGCTGTTGTTGATTTGTCTTATAATTAAAATAAATTTTTAAGTAACTCCATGTTTACCACAATATCTGTACAACACTAGGACATGTGCCAAAAATGCAGCTTTTAATAAATATGTCAAGAAATATTGGAAGTATCCCTAGATGGGGGAAGGGCATCCTGTGGATGTTACTTTTCTATTTCTTAGGAGTCTCTAGTAATTTATTGATCAGAGTTTTTAAAGTGCTCGTTACCATTTTAAGACAGATGACATTAACCGTAGGTAATGGGTAGAGAACTTCTGATTTCACATGTGCTATGGACAAATCCAGCTGAATAAACCCTTCATGTCTAACTGCAGTTGTATTCATCTGAAATAAGACCATGTAGAGGTGATGGAATTGGTGTTCCTGGGGCATTAACTTTGCCTTCTGGAGGTGGGCAGCGATATGAGCTGACAGACCCCAGCACAGGCATCTGCAATTTGGCAGAGAAGTGGGAGATTTGATGGAAGGAGCCTTAACAGTTTTCCGAAAGCCATCTGTGTGTTATCAGACCATGAGATCAGCTGATTCTGATGTCAGAAAAGGATGGCAGTTTTCAGGTTCAGAGACCAAGAAAACTTGGTGAGTAGAAGGGCAGGTCATACATGTTAAGATCAGGAGAGAGTGAAGGATGGCTGAAGAACACGGTGTTTCTCTGCAGCATTTTCTTACAGGAGGCATAAGATTTTAGAGTTTTGAGTTCACTGAGTATGGGTAAAATTTTGCCATCATATCACAACTTTGGGTCTAGAGCAGCAATACCAGAAATGCATAGTTTGCTTTGCACCATTTCAGCTAATTTTGTTTAATTTTTACAGGGGTAGATGGGTATCTGTGCAACAAAATTATTCTTGTCTCTGACAGAGTAAGTGTCCCAGCATGTGGCTGAGGGGGTGTGTGAGCAGGTTTACTGTCTGGCCCCTGAAGAGCTTGAACAGGACTTTGTGATTTGCCAAGATGTTTCTGTTAGTCACTTCCATTGGCTCATCTCAGGAGGGCAAGTGAACTGGTCCTGAGTGTGAATGTAAAGGTATCTAACACAAAGGATTTCCTGTGAGCTAAACTAACAACAGCACATAATGAAACACGTTCACCAAACAACAGGAATGCCTTTATTATTCGTTTAAAACTGAGCCTGTAAACACAGGAACCAGTAAGTCACTCTACGTTTGGGAGTAAAGTTGGGCACATGAGTAAGCTGAAGTGTGAGACTTCATAAATAATTATATTTGGTAGCTGGAAAGGAATTCTTCCTACTGTAATATTACAGATTCAGTAAAAAAGTAACTGAATTCTGGTTTTATTTTCAATATGCCATGTTTTTAGATAAGTGAATTCCTCAAACAGAAAATGATGTATTGCACATGCCAAAGGGGATAAAAAGAAAATACATCCATTACCTTCTATTATTTATGCAGGAATGGAGTTCTCTGCCTTGTAATTGTGTTTGTAATGTTGGACTTGAACTCAGAAGACATCAAATTTCCTTCTTCAGCACATGCTTCCTGTGTGACTGGATGATAACTACATGCTATTGCTGTCTCTTATTTTTTTCCATTTTAGTATGGGCATAATTCCTCTTTTCTCTACAGTTTTCTATTTAGCATTTTAGCCACACAACAGTTATTTTTAAATAAGCTTCTTAACACTGCAATATAGATTCACCACAGGACATGTATTCATCTAGGACCAGGAATTCAGATGATTAAATGCAAAATTACAAATATTTTCCCTATACCCTTAGTTGCCTGAAATGTTTGCAATAGATAATCTTCCCATCAGTGGAACTCCAGAGTGTCTTAGCTGATTTCTTCTGCTTGGCATTCTAAATATTCTCCTTGGGATTCTGAGAAAATTCAAATTCCTTTATTTCTTTGGATAGAAGTTTAAAATTCCATACCTTCTCTGCTGCAAATTTCACCAAAAAATCACAATACATTTTTTACAACATCTACTAGATTCGCACGTGTCTTCTATGAGCTTACTTTCACTAGTATGAATCTAGCTTTATTTCTAGTATAATATTTTCCCATTTCCTGGCTTCAGCTTTTGAGAACACTTGCTTCAGAAAGGCTAAAACCTCAGGCTATTTATCTAAAAACTCTTTTCCCAAGTCCTCCAAATTCTCAAGTTTGATAAAAAATACATGTTTTATTATACTACAGAGCAAAAGAATTATTGTGTGTGTTTGGTTGGGGTTTTATTTGTCTTAGACCAAAATGTTCCATAGTTTTGGCCATCAGTGCTTCAAAATAATTTGTTATTTAATTTTAAACTTCAACATTCTGTAAATCATACATCTGGCAAAAATAGAAAGTAATGGGTAATAC